TCGCCGGGTCCGCAGGCGGGATGTGCCAAGTCATTGCAGGCAACCCGCTCGACGTCCTCAAGACGCGCGCGCAGCTCGCCAAGCCCGGGCAGTTCAAGGGCACGATGGACATTGCGCTCCAGACGCTGCGCAAGGAGGGCGTCCTCGCGTTCTACAAGGGCGGGTTCATGTTCTCTTCGTATTGGACGAGTATGCAAGCTGAATTCACCGCACGTACACGCACGCAGGCGTCACTCCGCCCTTGGTCGGCATCGCCGCCGTCAACTCGCTCCTCTTCGCCGCCAACACGGCTGCACGTCGCCTGCTGTCCCCTTACCCGGATCAGCTGTCGATCTCGCAGATTGCGGCAGCCGGTTCGATGGCGGGTGCGGTCCAGGCTGTCCTCGCGAGCCCAGTCGAGATGTTCAAGGTGCGGCTGCAGGCGCAGTACGGCACAAACCCCAAGCGCCTGAGGGACATTGTCGGCGAGATGTACTCCAAGTACGGCTGGAAAAACGGGATCATGCGTGGGTACTGGGTGCGTCGCTGCCGCTCTCGTCTCGCGTCACTCGCGCTCACGCCGCTGACCTCGAAGAGGCCCGTCGCAGATCACGTTCGTCCGCGAGATTCCCGCCTACGCCGGTAAGCCTCCTTGCACGCTTGATCAGAAATTCAGAGGCGATACTCACGCCCAGACGGAGCGCAGGCTTCTACGCCGGGTACGAGTCGTCGAAGCGCGCCCTGCAGAAGAAGCTCGACACGCCGTCGCTCCCAGTCTGGGCGACGCTCACGGCGGGTGGCATCGGCGGCCTCGGCTACTGGCTCGCTTGGTGCGCCCGGTTCCCGTTTCCCCCGGAGTGAGAAGCGCCGCGCTGACTTGCCCCGTCTCGTGCCAGCTACCCGCTCGGTTCGTTATCTCCCACCTCGGACGAAACCAGGCCTGACCTCCCGTGCGGCTCGCTTTCACAGACGTGCTCAAGTCGCGCATTCAAAACGCCGAGCAGCCTCCGCGCGGCGCCAACTACATCGTCAACACCGCGAAGCAGATCTATCGGCAAGAAGGCGCGAGCGCGTTTGTCGCCGGTCTCACCCCAAGCTGTACGTGATTGCTCTCGTTCACTCTGCGGCAAGATTGAGCTGACACCCGACACCCACAGTGCTTCGCGCGTGCGTCGTCCGTCTTTCGTGTTCGGCGCGCTGGCTGACCCATTCTCACCCGTCCGCAGTGTCCCCGCGGCTGCAGCTACTGTGCGTCCACGTGCATGGCTACCTCTCATTCTCACTCAAGCACCGTCGAACTGACGTGCCCGCGCGCACAGTTCATGGCGTACGAGCTGGCGATGGAGTTCCTCCAGGAGCACACTTCGATCTGAACAAGCCTTGTGGCCGGTCGCGTTCTGTCGCCCTCACAACCCCTGAACCACACTGCCTCGTGCTCGCTGCAGTCTCCTGCCTCGCTTCGGCGTTCGACCGCCTACGGAGAGGGAAAGTTGCTACGCGGAGCTGGGCGTCTTCACCGCCGCGGATCTACGAGCGCGCCCCTCGCTTTCGCCTCTTGGCCATGCTGCACGTATCGATATCACTCCCTCCCCGCCTCTGACAATGCGTCGCGTCAACAGTCTGTCCCAGCCGCCAACTGCAGGCGGCGCTTGTTACCAGCTGCCTGACGTGAGCTTCGCGTCAGGGCCCACGAGGCTGCAAAGTCTCTCAATTTTGGATCTGCCCGACGGCGTCATCGCCCGTCGTGACCGGTGACCGATGAGGCGACCCGGCGCCCGTCTTGCGTGACCAGAGCGGTCCTCGATCCTGGACCCGGCGGGGCTTCGCCGCGTTCATCCGCTTTCTTGCTTCGTCCACACCATCAGGATGCATCTCGAACATCCGTGCGTCCCCCTCGAGCCTCTCTCCTCGCATCGATGGCACTGACCTGTTCGTGCGCGCAGGCCTCCTTGCCCGCCGACCTGCACTCACTGCCTGGCCTTCGACAACCACGCTCGCGCCGTGTGCACGCTGCCTCCCTCGCCAAACTCTAAGTGGTGCAAAGTCCATGAGGAGCTGCAGGTCCGTACACGCTCGCCCTGCCGCAGAGCTCGGCGCCTGATTCTCGTAAACGGTCGCAGGCCAAGCTTCTCAAGACGTACAAGCGTCTGACAGGCGCGTTCGAAGCGCACGACAATTCCCTCCTTCCAGCCTCCGTCGACGAGATTGTGGCCGAGCCAGGACTTGCGACGCTGCGCCGTTGGAGCGAGGAGGCGCGGCATCGCTGGTCGCTCGCCAGGCGAGTCATCGTTGCCAGGGCAGAGCATCACGCCCAGTTCTACGCCGGGGGAGACTGGGGGCACTGTCGCTTCGTCGAGACTGTGTGCGTATCCGCGACTCCCTCTGACCCCTTCGAAAAACGTCTCGTCCTGACCCATCCGTCTCACAGCCGAGCCGAGAGCGTCCGAATGGAGCGCTTCCTTTGCGCGCTCGATCAACAAGCATACACCGTGCGTCCTTTGCTGCTGTGCCGGAGCTGTCCCTGTGGCTGAGACCGTCGCCCCGCAGGTCACCTTGCATCAGCAGGCGGCGTCCTGGGTTCTCGACGTCGCGTCGGGTCCCGCCTTTATCTGCGACGACGCTCCGATCTCACCGGCGTCCGGTGAATCGACCGAACGACCTCTCACTCCGCCACCGAGCCCGCCAACAGCGAGCCCGGCTCTTCCTCGCGGGCGAGGAGGCCGGCGTCACAACAAGGGCCGCCAAATTCGCCCTTCGGCGCCGTTCCCTCTGTCGAGTGCGTCGAACGACGCCCTCGACGAGCTGCTCGCGAGTCCTGCGGCGACCTTGTCGATACCTGCGCCTCGGGACCTCCTGGCCCGCCTCCGCGACTACCTCGTTCCACCCACCGACTTACCTCCTACGGTCTCGGTGACGCTTTGGACGTCCTTCGTCGAGGCCGTCTTCCGCCATGTCGTCCTGCGCGTTCCTGCGTTGGCAACCCTCGCCCTTTCTGCCCTCTCTCAGAGCGAGACTGCTGCTGGGCCTCTCGGCCGCGCCCAACCCCCACACGCCGCTCCGCCCGCGAGCGTACAGGCCTTCCTCGACCTGCTCGAGTCGCGCCTCGGACCTGCGTTTGTGCCAGATGGCGCTCCACCGGGCAGCGCGCCGGGCGAGCGCGAGGTCGAGCTTCTTTGGCGCGGGCTCAAGTTTGCCCGCGCTGCGCCGAGCTCTGCGCCTGACTCGAGTGACGCCTGCTCGAATCAGCCAGAAGAGGGGCTCCTTGGAGTCAACGCCCTCGCCGACGCCCTTGACGCCGTTTTCGCCGGTGCGTCGTGCCCGCCAGGCACCGACTCGCTCGAGACCGGCGACGCTGCGGACGGCGCAAGTGTCGTCCTCCTCGGCGCGCGTGTCCAGAAGATCCAGAACCGTGTGGAGTGGCCTCGTCCAGGGTGGGACCTGTTCTACCAACTCGTGCGTCTTCCGTCACTGCATTCTTCATCACTCTTTCGCTCTCGCTCACCTCGACCTGCCTCTCCGTGTAACATGCTCGCAGGTTGCGTGCCCCGGCTGCACGCTTGTCGCGACACACTCGCTCACTACGTGGACGGCCAATCGCCGCCTCGCCGCTCTCGGACGTTACCCGTCGTGGGCCGCGTCGAGCGAGTCGACTGCGGAGCGCGTCTTTCGTCTCAGCGGCGCGGTCTTGTGCACGAGCAACAGCTGCACCGCTGGCAAGAAGATCAGACGGGTCGAGCAGAAGGGTCCGCCGGGCAAGAAGGCTACGGGCAAGAAGACGGTCTTTCTGGAGGAGACGGAGCGGAGCTGGATGTACATCAAGCTGGTGAGCGACTGCCTCGCCTCTTCCGCCCTGTGGGCCACCCGCAACTGACGGCCCCTATCGCGCAGCCGTTCGACGACCCGCGCTCTCGCCGGATCCTCGACCACCTCGCCTCTCGCTCCGACCGCTTTGCCGTGCTCGCTCGCCAGACCATCTCGGGTCCCCTGACGCACGTGCCGCCAAAAGGCGACATGGCATGCGTCGGTGGACGACACTGCTCGTGCTGCGAGCAGGCCAACCTCTGGCTTTGCCGCGTTCGCTCAGGGTACATCCCCGCCGAGCGCAAAGCGGCTCGCTGGACCACGACGAGCTGTCCGTTACATTTCGTTCCATTCGAGCGGCATGCAGCTGACGCCCTCCGGCTCTCAGTCCTCCCGCAGGACTCGATCCTCTCGTCCTTCCTCAAGTCTTCCTCGCCCGAGCTACGGTTCCACGATGCCCCTTTCTCCGACACGTACGATGCACTTGTCCTCGACGCGACGCGCGACACGCACGACAAGTGGGCCACATTTGCCGATGCCGTCGCCCAGGCGATCCTTCATGCGCAAGAATGCGAGACGATCGGCCAGCTTCTGCACAGGGAGAAGGAGGGAGCGGTGGAGCGCGGCGAGATGGATGCGCAGCGGTGGGAACGCCTGCACACCCACGCGGTGATCCACGAGCGCGGCGGGCGTCAGCGCGATGGGCAGGAGCCGCGGCGCAAGGTCGCGTTTGTCTGCGAGGAGACGCTCACAGCGCGACGCATTTTCCGCGAGGAGTGAATGCTACCTGACGTGCATCTCGATGCCTTGTCTCGCGAGTGGTTGCGCGTCCAGCTTGAGCAAGCGCCGGTCGCAACTTGGGAAGTCAAGATCGTGGGCGTGTCGAGGGCTCGCGCGGGCCAGGTGGAGGGTCGGTCGAGACTTGCGGAGGGTCGAGGTGCTTTTTTGGGAACGACGAGCGAGAGGGAGAACGAGAGAGAGAGGTGTCGGCGCTCGAGGCGAGGGGATGCCGACTGAGTCGAGTCGAGAGGTGCGCGCGCGGCGGGCCGGGGCCGATGCCGCCCGCGCTCGCGCGCGCCCGACGCTGTGGACAGGAGGCAGACAAGCGTGTCGCAGCGAGAGCATTCACGGCAGCAGGAAGCAAAATGAAAGAGGACTCTGGCCATGAAGGCTGTCCAGAGGAGGATCAGCAGCTCCTCGACATCATCCGCAAAAAGAGATGCGTTCGAGGGGAATCGAACCCCTGCCGAAAGCTATGCCTGTTTGGATGGAAGGCTTCCATGCTAACCGTTACACCACGAACGCGATCATGGAGCAGTACGGCCAAAAACGCAGGCATGTAGTTGCTAGTTTGCGTTGAGGAGGTCCCAGCGTCCCGCTTCGACGGGCAGGCCTCCTGTCGCCCCTCCTCCGTCTCCTCTAGACTCTGCACTCGACCAGGATGGTCCCTCAGCTTTGATCCGGGGTTTCGTGCGGGCGCGAGACAGGCGTTTGACGCTTGACGTTGGGACGTCGGCCGCGGCTCGACGGCCGACGGCGACGGCGGCCTCCGGTCGGGCCGCATCCACACGTCCCTTGGGACGAGTCGAGACCGGCTCGAGCGCTGAACGAGACGAACAACCGCAGAAACAGCAACCGAGCCCAGCCTTGAAGGGGCAAAGGCGAGCCAGAAGTTGGGCGCTGGGACCCTGTGTGTCCGCTGACACGGCTCTGGCCCTTGAAGAATAGCGGAAGAGGACGTTCTGAGCGACAACCGTGCGTGCGAGAGCGAGGCGGGCGAAGGAGAAGAGGGAGAGAGGAGACAGAACCTCCAGCCTTCGCAAGTCGAGGTCACGCAACCTCGAGCCCAACTTTGGCCCGGGAGCTGTATCACGACCGTCGGTGCGACGGCAGGGTGACTCGGCGGGGCGCTTGGACCGCCCCGTCAACGTTGACGGGCTCGTCAGGGCTTGGTCGCACGTCGACTCCTCATTGAGGCGCGAGGGGCGCCGAAAAGGATGCTGTGCAACGCGGGAAGGCTAGACGTGAGCTACATTCGCTCGTAACTGTGCTGGATGTGCGCCAGTCCGACAAGATGAAGCAGCTCGTCGCGACGCTGCGCCGCGAGGGTCCGAGCCTCCCCTCCTGGGCGACCGTTTCTGCACACGGCAGCGAGTTCCCGTTCGTGTGGCTCAGAAGCTGTCGTTCCTGTGAAGAACCTGTTGGTCGAGCGAGAGGGACGAGCAAATCGCCGTGCCTGTGCGTTCGGAGCCTGTGAGCTTCTGCGTTCCTCGCTCGACCTTCTTCGGGGACGCGCGGATGGTGGGCCCTGGTCGCGACAGGCTTCGTATTCCCAAACCCATCTGCTCGGTACCGCTGACTGCAGCGCTCGAGAGACAAGAGGGTTAGCCCAGCTGGTGGTTGAAAGCTCGCACGGCCCCTTGGAGGATCCCAGTGGCGCGCGGTGCAGCGGGGTTGGACGAGCGACGGCGCCAATCAAGGGGCCAAGGCACCGTCGCTTCAAGAGAGACTGAGTGAGTCAACGAACGAGCGGAGGCAGGAAGGAAAGCTCGAGCTAGTTTGGCAAGCTGGCGTACGACTCGGCGCGTCGCGCGCGTCGCGCGCGTCGGCGACCTTTACGTCGGGACTCGGCCGGGCGCGCGCGAGCGGCTGGACGCAACGACTCGTCTCGCACCTCAAGCTTCTACCTCAGCCACCTCACAGGCAGCCACATCGACTACACGAGATGCCGGCACACACCTTTGCAGCAGCGCCCAAGCCCTACACGGTCGACTGGGCCGCCCAAGTCGACGAGCTCCACAAGCGCCTCGACAACGCCCGCTGGCCCGCACAAGAGGTCGTGCCGCTGGACGTCTCCGAGACCGACCACAACAACGCGTTTGGACTCGGGGCCGGGCCCGAGCTGACGCTCATGAAGGAGCTGGCCCAGGGCTGGCGCGACTTTGACCAAGGGGCGGTGCAGGAGCGTCTCAACAGGTGGGCCCTCCTCCATCTGGCCCGTTCATAGGCGTGACGCTGACGCTGCAAGCACACAGCTTCAACAACTGGACCGTCGAGATCGAGGACCTGTCGATCCACTTCCTGCACCACCGCTCGACTCGCGCGGGCGCCATCCCGCTCGTCCTCTGCCACGGCTGGCCCGGCGGATTCCACGAGTTCCTGCCGGTCATCGAGCTCTTGACCGAGCCCGACTCGGCCGACGCACAGGCGTTCCACGTCGTCGTGCCGTCGCAGCCGGGCTTTGCCTTCTCCTCGCCGCCCAAGACGGCCAAGTGGGGCATGGAGGACACGGCGCGCGTCTTTGACAAGCTCATGACGGGTCTCGGCTATGACAAGTGCGTCTTCTTCTCTTCGTACGCGGACGAGCGAGACTGGACGAGTGAGGCTGACGGCTGCCCTCGCTCGTCAAGGTACGTCGCGCAGGGCGGCGACTGGGGGTCGATCACGGCGCGCTGCATGGGCGCACTGCACCAGGACCACTGCATGGGCGTGCACCTGAACTTCTGCCCCGTACCGCCGCCTTTCCCGCTCAACCAGTTCAACCCGCGCACGCTCCTCAACTGGATGCCGCGCCTCATCCTGCCGGACGCTCAGCGCGCAAAGGTCGAACGCGGTGTCGCTTACCTCGAGAAGGGGTGAGTCTGGAGTCTGCTCCCCGATTGGGGCTTGGCGCCAGACACAGGGACTGACTCGTGTGCCGCCTCGCCTGCCAGGTCCGCCTACTACGTCATGCAGCAGCTCACCGTACGCCCTCTCGTCGCTTGGAACCAGCGCAAACTGGTCTTACTGACGATCGCCCATTGTCCGTGCAGCCGCGCACGCCGGCGTATGGGCTCAACGACAGCCCGATCGGCTTGCTCGCCTGGATTGGCGAGAAGGTGTGACCGCGCAGGGCACGAGCTCCACGCCGCGGCATCCACTGACCCATCTGCGACGCATGTAGATGGTTCCCGGCATCGAGGATGCCGCAAAGCACCCGAACCCGACGTGCGCCTCCCTCTCCTACCCTCTCCTCCAACCTGAGACTGACTCGTCTTGCGACGCAGCCTCAATCGCGAGGCGCTTTACCTGACGCTGTCGCTCTACTGGTTCAGTACGCATAGCTTCTCTCTGCTCGGGCAGCTCTCGAAAGTTGATTGACGCCGTTCACTCACTCATTCGCTCCAACGCAGCCGGCTCGATTGGCAGCAGCTTCCTCCCCTACGCCCTCAACCCGCACTTTACGACCTTCCTCACCTCACCAAAGTACCACCTGCCCAACTTTGCCCTGTCGTCGTTCCCAAACGAGCTCTTCTGCCCGACCCCGCGCGACGCAGGCAGGTCTGGCGTCTTGCGGTGGTTCAAGGAGGCGGACGACGGCGGACACTTTGCGGCGCTCGAGAAGCCGCAGGTCTTCAGCGAGCACGTCAGGGAGGCGGTGGCGGCACTGCTGTCGGCCAAGTGAGCGAGGCAGGAGAGAGAGGGGAGGGGATCCAGCGAGCGTCTTCTGTGCACCTGCAGTCTTTCGTGCCCGAATCCGTATGCGCGGCAGACTCAGTGTACAAAGTCAGGTCGAGCAGAGTCACGGCGTCTCAGGGCCGGAGAAAGGAGAGAGAGGGCAACTGGATTTACACGCGCGCCTCTGCCGGCAGCTGAGCCTCCTCCGCCGCAACCGCGTCCGCCAGCGCCGCCTCTGCCTCGCCCTCGAGCTCTGCCTCGTCAAACTCGAACTCCTCCTCGGGATCGAACTCGTACTGGTCGACGAACGGCCCGTACGGGTCGACGCGCTCGATGACCTCGTCGACAGCCTCGAGCTCGACGACGACGCTGCGCCTCTTGACAATGTCCCACACGGTCAGGTCCTTGACGTCGGTGACGAGCGCCACGTTGGGGATGTTGCCCACAGCGAGCTCGAACGCAGCGCGCGCCTGGACGCCCTCGTCGGCGCCCGTGGCCGCCGCCGTGACGAACAGTGCGTCGGTCCACCCGCGGCTGGCGAGCTTCTGGCTCAGGACGCGCGTGCGAGGCTCGTCGAGGCCGAGCTTGTCGACGACGACGAGGTTGCCCGAGCGCCACTTCTCCGAGAGCGACACGCGCAGGCCGAGCTGCTCCTCCTTGCGGTTGATCTTGCGCTGCCACCCTTCGGGGCCCTTGGGGCGCGGGCCGAACGCGCGTCCTCCGCCCTTGAGCATGGGGCTGCCGCGGTCGCCGAGACGGGCGCGGCCAGTGCCCTTCTGCGGCCGCATCTTCTTGCCCGAGAAGCTGACCTCTGCGCGGTTCTTGGTCGACGCGGTGCCGGCGCGGAGGCACGAGAGGTGGGCCGTGACGATCTTGTGCAGGAGGGACGGGCGGGCGGGGACGTTGAAGAGGGGAGCGGGCAGGGGGACGACCATGGGCTCGGTCGAGGGGGCGACGGGCGACGCGGGCGGCTTGGGGTAGAAGGTGCGCAGAGGCACGTGGACAAAGGCATCGCCCACGGTCGATTCGGCTGCTCGCAAGACGGCGCCGAGGGTCAGCTCTCCAGGAGCGATGAGATGGGGAGCCAGAGGGCAAAGCGAGACTCACGGTCAAACGCAGGCGAGTTGTGCGGGGCCGGTGCCGAGGTCGATGAAGATGCTACTGGTGCTGCCTGGGCATCTGCTGCACCGGCCAGGGGCGCCGCTGCCTCTGTAGCGAGGGCCCGAGAGCACGAGGCGAACGAGGGCTGCAGCACGCGCTCGAGGGTCAGCTGCGGCCCTGGGCGCGCACTAAAGAGAGACTGCACTGACCCTGACAGCCCTGCGAGTTGCGGCTAGGAACGACATGGGTGCGTGTGAGCGGATCGAGGTCGGGGCGAGACAGCTTCACCGCCCGCGCTTTTCCCCAGCGCGCTAGCGCGCGCGCGCGAGCGGCGCAGTCGCTTTCCGTCTCGCTTTCCTTGCAATATGCGGTGAGCCCAAGCTTGGAACGAATGGAGCTGTTTGCACAGAGATGGCAGAGACCCGTCTAGCAGAGATAAAAACGAGCGGAAAACCGTGACCCCCTCCTCCCCGACGTCTCGACACAAACCCCCGACCTGACCTGACTGCAACTGCACCACCCTCAGACGGGGCTGAACGGGACCTTGAGGTGCTTGGACGGCGCACCACCGTTGTCGTCGCCGTCGCCAAACTGAACCGGGAAGTCGACGAGCGTCGGCGCGTTCGACAGCGCCGGGCTGGGCGGGATCCCTCCGCAAGCCGACGCCTCGCTCTCGCACCTCGTCCTCGGCCTCGCGGCGGGCTCAGCCGGCCTCTCGGCGTCGCAGTAGACGGCCTTGTCGAGCTTGAGCGAGATGGCCCACACGG